GAATTATGAAGAAAACTTTAATAAAAAAATTTCATTTTATATTATTTCTTAGTCAAATAAAGAATCATTGCAGTCAAATATTCGAATAAATGGATAAATTAATAACCAAATGAATGATGAATTGATATAAATGAGTATTTATTTGATAAGACTGATTACTATAATAAAGTAAACTCTTATTAGTATGCTACATTTATTTTTGAACCGATTTTATAATTTCCAAGATTCCACTTTATATAATTATTATTCATTTATTATTATCCAAATTTAAACGTTGATGAAATACAGGTATTTACTCAATAACAGTTTCAACCCTGTAAAATGCAGAGAGCATTAATGTTTCTCTCCAAATACCATACTACTAATGTGTCACGTGGTAGATCGCAGCGCAGCGCTAAAGTGAATAAAAAATGTTAATTTTCAAGGTTTAATCTTTCTTGTCCCATTTTTTCAACTACATGTCCCTACAGGAAAAAATCTCAGCTTTCCTTTAAAAAAAAAAAAAAAAAAAAAAATCGTACCTTTTACCCCGAAAAAGTCAAAAAAAATTTTGAAATTAATTTTTTTTGGTTCAAAAATTTTTTTTTTCAAAAATGCATGTCCTCAATCGAAAGAGCATTAAAAAAGCTATCGAAACTGATGTTGATAAAAATTTTTTTTTTTGATACTTAAGAAAAAAAAATTATTAAAGAAAACGCTACCCATAAACTTCAACCCCCTCCCCCCGAGTAAATATTGGTCCAAATTGAAAATTTTTTTTACGATAAATTACCACCCAATAGAAGTACAAATTACTCCAGTTTGAGCGAAATTGAGACAAAATTTTTTTTTACTTTGATCACTTCACCCGAGATCCCCCATATACAAAATTTATATAGATTTTTCTAAATATATTTACGTTGGCACTTTGTGTTTTTTTGTATTGGAATTTTATAATTTTGGAACTTTTTGACATTGGAACTCATTTCTTTTGGAACTTTCTTGCCATTGGGACTTTTTTATATTGGAAATTTTGTATATTGGAACTTTTTTATATTGGAACTTTTGGCTTGGAACTTTCGGTTTGGAACTTTTGTTTTGGAACTTTTGTCCTACAATCCTATGAAATGAACTGTAAAAAGGAGATACACATAATAATGCTTAATTAAAATGACATTAAATTAATACCATTAATATTAATTATACATTAATACCATTATTGTTTTTTTAAATTTAATGTCATTTTAATTAAGCATTATTATGTGTATCTCCTTTTTACAGTTCATTTCATAGAACGAATTACTGTAATAATTCAGTTTTCAACAGACTTAATTTTGAGGGTAATTTTTATTCTGATAGATTGGATTTTTTTAATAATAATGTCACGGCTTTTGTTACATCTTTACATAATTTACTTTATAATGATAATAGAAATTTTTTGTTGTATTCTTTTTTCTCATCGATATACCTCTTAAATTGATCAATAATTAACTTTTATGTTTAATATTTAACATTTGGCGATATACTTTTAGTTTATACATATGTAAATCTTAAAGGGTCTTAATTGTAACCCGTATAAGTCATAAATAAATAAATAAATTATAATCCCCACCATAATTATGCCACTGACTCTGTTGTCTATCATAACAATAATCATGTTCCATACAAAATTTGTAAATATCAATAGTGTTATATTTTTGTTAATTTTATTTTTTTTAATATTTATTTTTAAAAAATACAAAAATTTATAAATCTTTTTTTAAAAATTAAAGATTTTTTTATATACTAATTATGCATAATTAATTATTCATTTTGTTAATATTAATTATTGTAATTTTATGCTCTTAAAACTGATTGAATGTTAATACAAAAGAAATTGTTGAATAAAAAAGAATTATTACTGAAAAAAATTATAATTACGTTTAATTTTTTGTTAATTCTCGATTACATTATGTCTTGTTTTAAAATGAAATTATTTTATTTTTTGTTATAAATGAAAAATTATTTATTTACATAAGTATCAATACCATCTACAGGTATTCCAGAACTATCCATTCCACAATAAGAACCATAATAATTGTACGACATAGCACTACAGTCATTGACACAGTTCATCATTTTCTGCAAATTTCACAATGATCTTTTGGATCGTCTTTGGTTTAATTACAGTGGAACCTCGATTATCCGAACCCTCTATTATCCGAACCGAAAAACCTGTTTCTGTCAGATGACAGAATATGCAGGGAGCACAAAGTCGCAACTATCATTATATTACTTTCTTATTTCCAATTTTGTCTGATGTAATGTAGACATGAAATGAACTTGAAATATAATGAAATTAAATTACTATACACCTGTTCTCAAAATATAACAGCTGATGCTTCAATTTTTTGTATAATTCAAAATGAATAATATAAATAATTATAATTACTAATTATAATAATAAAAAAGGAAAATTTTTGTGAGGAAAAAAAGAGAGATGTGTTCAGCAGTAAGGAGAAAGAAAAGACGAAGGAAGAAGAAATATAATTGAGTAACATTAAGAATGAAAATGAAATATGGAAATTAAGTAAATATTATAATTACTAATTATAATTAATTATAGTACTTATAATTATTAATTGTAACAATTATAATATAAATATAAAGTTTAAACAAATTGTTCAATCAAAATGTTTAATTGTTTGTGAAAATATTTCCTTATTTAATAATTTAACAATTTGGTCACCCTTCTAGAAAAAATCGATTGAAAACGATTGAAAACAATAGGAAAGAAATTTCTATTGTCCCCAATCGTGTTTCTTAATCGTGTACTTACAATTGAAGACGATTGACTTTCTTATTATATTCAATCGTTTTCAATCGTGTTCTATAGATTGTATTCCATGCACTATTGCATGGTGGGAGTTTTTGAAAATTTTAAAAAATGCAACTAATTAAACAGTCTAGAAACATATAATTATTTTAAAGATTATTTTCCGAACTAAAAAATTAAAATATTTATCAATGTATTTGTCACCAAAGAAGAAAATCATATATTTTATCAAAAATTAATTAAAAGTTATTTTTTAATTTATCTTTGAATGAAACTGCACAAGACAAAATGTTTCTCGTTTATAATTTATCGAAAAAATGTTTAAAAAATAATTTTTGACAAATACATCAAGTATTGTTTTAAATTGAATTACTGAAATTTTTTTTAATTTCAGTCAATATTGAATTTTTTTAAATAATCGAATATTGGAAGATCTACAATAATTATAAGATTTATTAGAAATAATTAAATTTCAGGTGATTTTAAATTGAAAATTTTGAAAATATTTTAATGAATGAAAAACTTTCTACAATTTCTTCACAATCAGAACGTTCAACTCAAGGCATGGCACTCGTGCGCAGAGATGGGTAAGTATCATACTTCATGTATGTTACCTAAGTTTGCTACGTATGTTACATGTGTATACAACTTGTCCAGTTTGCTACACAACGTTTGTTACATTTCATGACGTAGGCACTCGTAATGGTCAGAAGCAAATATAACCTCAATCTAGTTGGTTCCGCTATGTGTTTAGTCTTTGAATTTTTGTTTGATTGATTTGATTGTTTCTAAAAATCAAAAAGATCTATATTTATTTTTTCAGAAGCAATGACGAGATTTTTTTGTAGGATTATAGAAATTCAAAGTAAAGAGTAAAGACATATAAAAACACTTATTAACTTAATAAAAATTATTAAACTGAAGTGCAATAAATTATTATTTAAAGAATATTTCATCTCTTTATATTTACCAGTAGATCTATTTACCTGAGTTGCCTGAGACATTATTATAATTTATCTGATAAGGCCAACGCACAATAGATTCGCGAAAGTCGTTCGCGAACGAGATGCATGAGATAGAAAAGGATACGAATATATCTCTGTCCTTTTCTAACTCATGTTTCACGTTCGCAAACGTCTTTCCCGAAGATATTCTGCTTAGGCCTTTATGATGATGAGGCGAGTCCGAGTTGACATCCAAAAAGAAAAAGTGAGGTTATATTTATAATATGGTTTGCGACAATTTGTTACGTATACTACACATTTTAGGTATCATACGTAGCAAACCTTGAGTTTGCGACATTTACCCATCCCTGCTCGTGCGTGAGTAAACGATTGCCAAATCAAATGACTACCGAAAAGTGCAAGGTTGCAAAAGACATTGCATGGCAACATCCGGGGTGTTTTAACGAACATACAAACCCCACCAGCAAAAAGTAAACTAACAAAAACATTTGCATGTAAGATTTCTATGTAAGAACTTATATAGGAATTTCCAGTAGGTTATATATTTATAATAATTAATCAACAATTTATCATTTATTTTATTATTACATTAATATATTATGCCAATTAATATAATTAATTACATATTAATATTAATTATTTACATATAAAATACTATAAAATGTATCTATTAATTACATAATAGAATACAGTTAAACGTCAATAACTCGTAACTTGTTAAGTGGAATTCATCAGTAAAACGAACAAACGGCATTTTCCTACCGGTGAAATCTTAAATACTTAATATTTCGAATTACTTTGAATTTTTAACTTTGAAAAATATCATTTCCCTTGAGGTTATTAATAGTATATTCCATATTTGTGTTTTGACAATTTCGAAATTAACGCAGCTATTGAGAGTATAAAATTGTAAATTCGATAGTATTTAAATTTATATTATAAAAATTAAAGATTAATTTTTATATATTAAATTATCTTCAGCAAAATATAATTTATTTTTTAAAAATAAATATTTCGATGTACACTTACATATTCTGTCACTAGTTTTCGATTCTCATTTAAGTTCTTAAGCGATCATTAAGTGATGACGAACTGCATTACACGACGATAGAAAAAGAATGATTAGCGGTAGTTTTGGTTTTGGTTTATTTATCGATTGTTCGAGAGGTTCAATAGAAATATTAAACCAATGATCGCTGCCTTTTTAATGCATGACAACAATTCGGGTAGGTCGTTGATCATTGAGTTGAAAAAAGGAATGGTGGTTTACTACCCAAATAAAAAGTTAAGTAACAAGTTCCAAAATTATTAAGCAAAGTTAGCTTATAAATATCTATGTCCTGCTTTCGTTGGTAAGGTCCTTGGTTCGACAACGATTGAATTAATTGATAAATCTGGCAAAGGAGCAAGCAATGACATCTTTACAGAAAGGTTTCGAAACTCAAAGGCGTGAGTTAGAAACTGCTTTCGAACAAGAGAAATTCTGAAGAGCTTTACCTCCTCGAACTTCTTCGTAAGCAATTGAGGAATTTCTTTATGACTTCGATGACACAAAATCAGTGGCGTCAACTGTTTGCAGCATGTTACCGTCATCTGGAAGATATGATGAAGGTATTTCAGAATACCACGATTCAATTTTGTCAGAGTTGCGTAATTGGAAGCCCACACAACTAAAATTGAAAAAGATTGAAAGGGTTACATCAGGACAAATTCAGACTAAGAATTTTGAAGAGGAGAAGAATCGTCAACAATGATCATCCTATGCAGATATCTAAGTCAACGAGAACATCTCTTTCAATGCTTGAATTGTTAAATCCGGAGGGTGCTCAGCAACATTTATATTTTGTCGACAATAGAATCATCAGCCAGGAGCTTCTACGCGACTTGATTCTTAAGAGAGCTAATTTTTTGGTAGCTAAAAGAGAGTAAAAAATGGTTGATCATTCAACCCAAACTAATGTCACGCAGGTCGCCAAGCAGACGATACCAGGATGCATAAATTGCCAATTCAGAGAGTGCTATTTGTCTTATCTTCCAGGCTTTTGTAGTATCTGCGGAGCCGTAGGCTACGATACAAACTGAAACGCCGAATTTGACGACAAATCAAATCTGCCTAATAAGATCAGAAAGTTATTGATTTGGGAGTACGCTTTGAAATCAATCGACGTATTTAAGATTACCCATAAGTGAAGTCGTCGATTGAGCTTTCAAATACCGACTGGCGCTTGACAAAGTTTTAATAAAATTAATTCTCTTAAACCCACGCAGCCTTCAACCCGGTCTCGTGTGGTGTAAATTCATATATATTTTTTTAATAATAAATATAATTCCTGTTTCAAAAAATACTTTAATATTAAAATAAGTATACATTTTGAAACCTCTTTGTGCTCGTAGCATGAAGTCGAAAACACACCGTATTACTTGAATTATATACAGAGGGACATTTGTCTTAATTTTATAATCAATGATTTATTTACAGAGATCATTAGAAATATTTTAATACTACATCGCAGTAACAGTCTCGTATGAACAAAATATTTCTTTGATTGTAATTAATTATTTTTCAAATTAAAAATTTTTTAAACACTCTGTGAGGCCTTTTTGAAGGCACTTTTTAAAGTGTCTGATAAACGTAAGGATATAAAAACATAAGACAAGTAATACAAAATGAATACAGAACATGGTAAAGTGAGAGCTATTATAAATCTACTAATGGCACTGCCAATATCCAACCAACTTCCTTGATTTGTGACTCCATATATAAGTGGCAAAGTTAGACAATTGCCAAGAAGAAGCACTCCTGCAAATACTGTAGATGATGCAAATGCACGACTTGCACAGCCAACTAATATCAATGGTATCATTATTTTCAATAAAATAAGCGTAAACATTGTAAATGGTGAAAATACAGTAACAAAATGTCTTGTCCATCTTGGATCAAAAGAACTAATGCTTGCCATATTTCCTGTACCGAAAAAGCACAGCAATGTGTACAACATCTAATTCATTTTGTTAAGAAAATTTTTTAGAAATTCTGAAAATCAAAAAATTTATTATCATTTATGGTATATGTTGTAACAATTTTGATTCAATTTGAATACAAAAAGATCGCGGCAAATTTAGAAAAGAGCATTGTTAATAAAATGAACAAAATGTTAATTAATAAAAGAAATTAAATCAAATAAATTCGCGATATATAAAAATCAATTAATATAAATAACATAAGTAAATATAATTTGTTGATGATTATTATTTTACTCCGTTTTCAATTAACTTTGATTCAGAAAATTTTTTACGAGGCCTATTAAACGGTTATTATATTTGCTGTTTATTGAAAAATTAATGTACAACGTTTCGATGCATTATGCATCCTCTTCAGGTACAATTTTGTTACAATTTGATGTTCGATGTTCAATATTTTTGAGATTTTGAAATAACAAAATTGTACCTGAAGAGGATGCATCGAAACGTTGTACATTAATTTTTCAATAAACAGCAAATATAATAACCGTTTAATAGGCCTCGTAAAAAATTTTCTCAATCATAAGTAAATATAGTCAACGTACATTTATTGCAGTATAGAGGAGATGTATGCAGGTTGAGACGGATTTTGTCTTTTGGGAAAATTTTTAAACAAAAAACATTTAACAAAAAGTTTCATATGCCGTTCAAAAAGTACTGTCCAGGGCTACAACATTGCCTAAGAAAGTAATAATTTTTTCAAAAATAAAAAATTTAAGGTTGATTTTTCGAATATTTATTTGTATTGAAGAATAAAAAAGTTTAAAAATTTATAAATTTTTGTCAGAATTGGCATCTGAGTCACAATTTTGTCTTCAAAAATTTCTAATATCCTAGAAGCTTTTAAAAAATTTTTTATTTTATTTGTCCCCCAGTTACTGCCAATTTATTCAAATGTTTAGTAGAACCTATTGTAATTTTTTTATTTTTTCTTCTTACAATTACTAATATTTTATCTAAATGTTTATTAGGGGATGATCGTTGAGGGTTGATTTTAATCTTTTTGGGGTTGATAATATTTGGAATATATTCTACGAGATTTCTAGTATTTATGGAATTTATTAAAACTTTTTGTTAAATAACTATCAAGTTATCAAAATAAAGTTTAGTGACTCTTCGCGTCTCAACCTACATACATCACAGTTATATTTTGATGACATGAAATTTTTTATCTGTGTGAAGATATGTTTCAAATTCCATTAGAATGTTAATATAGAACAAATACTGCTATGTAAATATGTATTATATTTACTTTTTTCTATAATTATAAAATATACGCTTTATTCACTGCACAAAAATGAATAAAAACACTTTTTTCTTGAACATTTTTTATGTGCTCTGGCTCTAACACATATAACGCGAGTTACAGCTTTTGTCATATTTAAATAGTTTGCTACTAACGAAATAAAAAGATGCCAATGGGCAATTTGGTATTATCAGTTATAATACAAAATAATATCTAACTATTTCAACCTGCATACATCTCCCCTACTTATTTAAATGGATAAAAGTATTCATTAAATTAATCGTTGTAAAAGACCGTAGCAGGATAAGCATGAAAAAAATTGTTTCAAAGTAAACAATTTTTACTGCCTTCCTGTAATCGAGTTGGAATTTGGTGTAAATAAGTTTCATATTAGAACAAAATTATTCCCCAAATATAGAGCAGATTCATATGGGGATACATTTACCATGCTTATCCTGTTAGGACCTTTATATAATTATATAAAAATTATATGAATATATATCAATTGTTAAAAAATAGATAGAATTATATGTTTTCTAAAAAAGGATACCAATGAAACAGCGTTAACCAAATCTTGCATAGCTATATGTGTTGTATTATCTTTTAAATCTGTTTGTTCCCATTCGACTGGCCAACAACGAAAGTGAAATGCAAGAACCAAAAAGAATAAAGGTTCATATGATGTAGAAAGTAAAACAAGAGGACAAGATAAATGTACAGTAACTCCCATAATCATTTCATTAAATTCTGGAGGATATATCCAAATACATATAGGAGTACTAAATAAAATTAGCCATGATATCCAAGACCGACCATCTAAGAATTCAATATATACTAATCCAGTTAGTAAAAGTCGCATAATTTCCAAACATTTTATTTTCCCTGATGTTTTTCTTTTAAAAGATATTAGACCAAGTAAACATAAGGTCATTAATCTGAAATAAAAAAATTTTTAAGAACAACAAATTTTTCTCATAAAATTGAGTATAGGCAAACTTTTCTACCGTAAACTGTTCTATGATCAGTCCACGGAAGAGAAATCCATGAAAAAGATATTAGTGTGTAAAAATTAAAATAAAAGAAAGAAAAAATGAAAAAAAAATTTAAATAATTTACTGAATTTAGTTTATTATGTGTCGGGAAAATCATTCTTGACGTTATTTTGAATATTTTGAAATAAACAATTATGTTGATCGACTATCTTAAAATAAGGGTAAGGAGTCCGAGGTCAATAGTTCGCCCCTGCGACCTTAGATCGATCTAATCGCCAATATTTGACTAATTGGACGCATTGTCGAAAATCGCCGGTACACACACTCTTTGTTCGACCGTTCTGAATGTAGTGCGTTTGATAATTGTAGTGTGTTGCAAAGGAATATATTCGACAAATTGTATGTCGCGACTGAAACCGACGAAGAGTCGATATTCGATCAACTCAAGTAAGTGTTTGATGTCTGATTTTTATTTTTGAAAATAAACAAATTTCCTGGAAGTCGCTTGATTGTATTTTTTTAATTTTTTTTGTGAGGGTTCCCCAACGGTTCCTGCTTTCTTTTGCTCGTATAATTATTTGTTAATTTTATTTAAATTAACTGGCGTCCGCGTACTTAAATTTTATTATTTTATTTTTCATAAAAGAGCCCAGCAACTTTGAACCCGGTCGCGCTGGTGAGAATATAATTTTACTTTTTACTTATTTGAACTTGAAACGTATTAAACTCTTTAATTTTGACTGATCAGAAATTATATTCGTCTCAATTAATATAATAAATTCTGGTGTTTTCTTTTTTTCTAATTCTAATTTGTAATAAGTGGATTTCTTTACATTATATTATACTTTAACCGTAGAGAAGTTTGCCAGTACATAAAAACATAAAGAACAAATAAAAAAAACCATTAAAGTAAGTTCAACAGAATTGTCCAAATAACTATATAAAAAGGTAAAAAAAGAAGCAGTTATATTTGTTTTAATACAAAAAACAGAAGACTATTATTTTTTCAAAAAGAAAATCAAAAATTTGAACCAATGTAATATTTGGGCGTTCTATAATATAAAAATTTTAAGTTATTAAATGAAACTTACACAACAATAATTCGTGGTTCAGATTCAACAACTGGCAAAGATGGAAATACGGCTAAAATTAATCCAGTCATAAAAAACCATAAATTTCCTCCTTTCAATAATATTTTGTGCAATAAAGTAGTATAAAACATGGCAAATGTAAAAAAAATTCTATATGTTAATCCAGCAAACATAATTAAAATTAGTACTGCAATCATTATTACGCCAAAAGAAAGAAATTTTGTACTCCTTATTCTCAAAAAGGTTGATGTACTAATGAATTGCCAAATTGCTAACCATATAGAAACAATTGATAATATTCCGTATCCTAATATACGTTGATCTTTATATCCAAATACTAAAAATATAAAAATTTAAGTTATTAGTCAATTTTATAATTCGTATTTTAGAATTAATATTATTTTACAAAATATTTTATAATAAATATTATTATGCTCATTTTATTTCATTATTAATAAGATATGATAATTCAAAACTAATAAAGTTTTTAAGCATTTAAATAACAGATTAATTTGAAATTATCATAAGGAATACACTTTACCTATATACTCAGCAAGTAATAGAAAAAGTGCAAAACCGAAAGACAATTTCAATACATATAATTTAAATGATTGATGATTTTGTTTGGACTTTGCAGTAATTTTTAAAAACAACAAAGTAATCCACCCAAGCCACATTAAAGTTAAATAGATGATAAGTCGATTTCTCTGATACTGGCGAAAATAATTTAAAGACTCTTTTGCTAATAATACAGTTTTTTCTCCTTCAACAATGCTTTCTTCAATTTTTCCCTCGCTTAGTAAAGTTTCAATCTTCCGAATATTTTCATTAAGTTGTTTCTCCCTCCAATTTGTTCTAATTTTAGTTGTACCAAGACTAAGTTCACGATTTGCCTCTACTTGCAATGCTAATTGTTTTATATTTCCAAGCAGCGCACGAACTCCATATTCTTTGTTTTTAGAAGAGAGGAGCTGCAGTTTTAAAATTCCCTATAATTCATAAAAATATTTATATACATTAATTTAACAATTTACATATATAACTACAAGAGAGCTAAATTTGTAGCTTATTTTCCAATTTTCAAACCTGAAAACTTACAATACATTAAAATATTTGATGTTTAAAATAAATTTCAATAACCTCATTATTAACAGGAACTGATATTCCTAAAAGAGATGAAATTAAAGGAGTTAAATCTGCTTGTTCAATTTCTTGACGAGTAGAATTGTTAGCAACTCCAGCACCCCAAACAATAAAAGGTGTTTCTGTTTCATCCTTGGAACCACTTCCATGTGATCCCCAGTCAGTCATTCCATGATCTGATGTAAACAAATAGGCTGTGCTTCCTGATCCAAAATAGTGTTCAGTTTTATGAACAATTTCTTGTATTCTTTTATCCACATATTTTATATTATCAATATAAGCACTAAAATTGTTAATTAAAACCTTAAATCTTAAACATTGAAAAAATAACTTGTCAAACGATTTAAATTATTTTCCAACTAGTTTAAAGCTAATATTTTAACGACGAGAAGTACAAAATCACCTTTTTTTATTAAGGAGTGTTTAAAAAACAAACTAACCCGGAATTAGTCCAAAACACTTCAATTTGTATATAATCAAACAAATTCTTACGATTTTCGGATAAATTTCGTGTAGATTTTCTACTAAATAATTAGAATTCGTATGGTGTTTTAAAACGTTCTTTCATACGAAAATTCCTGCAAATTGTAAATTCCATACCAATATCAATTCGAATCTTCATATGAAATTTGTTCGAAAATTGTATGAATCATTTTCATCTGGAAAGTTTTAAGATACTTTTTATCCTTAAAAAAAGATGATCTGATATTTCTTAACGGTAGTGTAGCTAAATAAGAATACAAAATTTGTGGACGTTCACAAAAAGATGTAGATTATTTTATAAGGTGCTATTAATATGACAAAAATTTATAAAGTTATGAAGGAAAAAAATAATTCATTTTTCTAGTTAACCACTTTGTATCTCACCTAGAGTGCGGCTTACTACTGTGACCGGCAGTATCGCATCCCAAAAGATGAAGGAAAATTATAATTTTATCTTTTTCTTTAACAGTAAGTGCATCATGATCTAACCATTGAAGAAACTGTTCAAATACCCAAGAATCCAGTCTGATGGTTGACGATGAGGGATCAAAATCTTGCCAACTGGCAGAATAACTTTTTCCAATAAAATTTTCACTGTTGCCTATTAATTAAATTATTAAACAATAATAATTAAAAGATTGATTTATTTTGTTTACAATAAAAGTTAGTCTTTTCTATATGATTTTGTTTTTTATGTACTGAAAAGAATTCGATGTCGTTACCACATTAGCTTTCGACAGCGAGATACATTGTTACCAGAAAACAAAAAATATTTCTGCCATCTTTCTTGGTACATCAGTGATGCCGTGAAAGATGTCAGGTATTCCAAAACCCAACAGCGGCCTTTTTTAGTTTTTGGAAATTAAATTCAATTGCTTTCATTACTTCTGTTCGCGAGGACGGCCTTTTAATTTACTGAAAGTGAGTAAGTGCAGTGTGCAGGATTATTTTCTATCAGCGAATTACAGGATTAGTAGATCGGTGATTGTAAATATGATATCTTCCCAGAAGCTTCTAGGAAGCTTTAAATATGCACTGACACTCACAGTTAAGATAACGACAACGAATTTTTCTCAGCGAAGATTTGAATAATTCGTAGCATATATTAAGGTATTACATATTTAATGCATTCTCTAGAAAAAAGGCAACCAAAAAATAGATAATAAGAAGAAGCATTTAGATCCCTGAAATGCGTAGTTACCATACTGTTAAGGATTAAACTTTTAAGAATTAAAATTTCCAAAAGGAATAAATTTTTAATGAATGAACGGATTTTAAAATCCTATGAAACTGGTCAAACCTAATAAAATCCTAGAAAAAGGTTTCAAAATTCCTTGATAACCTGGACGGAATCAAGGAAAATACATTTCAGGCCTCACTCTTGTTAATAAACATTTGCCAGGGCATAGGGCAAAACACTGTTAGTAGAATGTAAAAACATACTTAGTTAACGACCGCGGCAAAACCCTGGCTTTACTCTTTATAATTTTTATACCATTTCAATAGCAAAATTTGTACTACAAAATTTTTTTTTTATAAAATTCAAACAATACAAACCTTGGGACAACCCTGTTCTTAGATTTCATAGCCCTTATACCGTCAGAACCGCAACTATCGAACGGTTTCCATTTATTTGGATAACTCTTTTTTCTAGAGAATGCCTATTATATTTTGTCGTATATTTTTTCGCTGGAGACCGTATTTATTGATTCTGGAATTAGTCAACATTTAAAAACCTTATCGAAAATTACCACCTTTTTTCTTTTGTTCGTACTCGTAGATGTACAGCTCGTGACGTACTCAAGAACCAACTTTGTGACTAAATTGGGTCTCCAGTAAAAAAATTATAATATCTTATTTAAACTGACCTTTTGAAAATAGAGATATAATATCTGGACTGCCCCATCCCCATGTGAGATAACTTTGATTAAAAACGGAATCAAAATCTACAGGGTTTTCCTTCCAACCCTTAAAAAGAGCGCTCGGATCTTCATAAAGACCTGCTACAATTGCTATATTTCCAGGTCGAGATTCTGTAGGCATTCTAGTGTGAGAAATTCCAGAAACTCCATTTGACCTAATTATATCACTGTGCAAAAAATGATACATTTATATTAATAAAGTCACAAAAAATATATGAGAAACATTTTTCACATAAGACATGAAGGAATTTCAGTGTTGTGGTGTATACATTTCTATTTATTTTAGGTATATAATCGTTTATCCCCCTTAACTGTGTGAATGATTTCATAGAAAGTGCCCAAAATGCGAAAAATATGTCTCGTATTTAAATAAAACTTTCTATATAGAGGTTTTTTGGGTTGTTCAATACGAATCTAATGTCCGTTTATCAAAATTCAAAATAGTGGATCCAATAAATTCAGTTTATTTTGTCACAATAAGTTTTTTTTAAAAGACGTCAGACATATTTAATCCAGCATTTTGAAAAAAAAAATTTTGAAAATCTAACTTTGGATTCGTTATAAGCGATCCCGAAATACTCTGAGTAATGATTTTCAAACAAATAAATTAGATTGTTTCAAAAGTCGACATCAGCATATGTAACGAAGTGTTTCGTTAGAAGCAAAAACCCCTAGAAATTAAAATGAATACTGAGATAGTTGTCTAGCGAGAGATAAGGTTGTCTTTCTCTCTCTTCTCGTATTGGGATCTGAAATCATAGGGAATTATGGGGAAACTGACCTCGTTGCGTCAGCCATCTTGATTTTTTATCTCTTTCTTCTACATATATTTTAAAAAGGATGAAACGAAAAATGGCTGACACAACGAGGTCGTCACCAGATGGCGTATCGCAGTATTTCAGATCCCAATAGGTTTGTCTCGTTTCCCTTTTTTGTCTTTTCTTTCGTTCAACGTTCAGAAGGTGTGACTCTTGTCAAATCAAGTCTTATTAGAAATGATTACGCGCATGATTAATCGACGCTTAGAGTCACGTGGTCCACGTACCTTCCAGTTTTCTCTTTAGGTGCTGATCAGTTGGGGTGACGAGGATGGACGTATTTGGATTTCCGGACTACGAAGAAGGATGCAATAATTTTGGGAAAGGCGGGCTTTATTCCGGGAAGTGAGATCTCGGGACTTCACTTATCTGGCTGACATTCTTGGCAAGTAGTCGCGTTTGAGTTGTGTTAATTAAATTCTACTTTTGTGTTTAATTGTGTGTGCGTTCTTTTTTGTGGAATTAATCACCGTTGGTGATTTTTCCTTATCGGCGGAAAAGATCGGAAAGATTAGCAATTGTTAATGATTTTTAGCGATTTTAAAATATTATTTTCTATTGATAACTCCCCATTACATATTGGCGCCCAACGTGGGGCCTGCATAGTCAAGGTTCGAAACGATACCCAATATTAAGTGAAATTCAACTAGAAATTAATAATAGTAACGCGTGCTGTAGTGACAGCTGACCGGCGTTATTGAAAAAGCCGCGTGTTAACGTTAATAATTAAAAAAATATTTTATTAATTAAAATTAACAATTTTTATTAATTGAAATTTTGTCAATTTTTTACAAAGGGCAAAATCATAGAAATAAACTTTAATTTTTAATTTAATATATTTAAATACCTCCCTTGGATGAAAATTTTCAACATTCTAATTATAATTTGGGAGGAAAATTATCATTACAATTCAACTTTCTTTTTGTTTGACAGAGAAAATCATATCGAAAAAGAGTGTATAGTGAAGTGACACTAATTTTTTTTCAGCGTTACCCTAGTCGCAACGTAAAATTTGGCGTGTCAGTTTTTGACAGGTACTGGTCGCGAATAGGAAATAATTAAGGCAAATAAATTCGAGTTCTTGTTTTTTTGAAAACAACAAAAAACGTCGTTTGCGTACGCATTGCAAGAACGAGTGCAGAAACAACAGGCAGGAGTTCCGTAGGGAATACGATACCGTGCAGACGCGTTATTTTGTTTACGAAACAAATATCGAGCTTAACGGTCTTTCTGAGTTCGGTGTTATCTTAGTTGATAGCGATTAAATTCGGGCTTCTTTCTTAAGACTCAACGAGTCTTATTGTGCTGTTTTCATAGCGTTCTTACCTTCGTTGTATATAGTTCGTCTTTTTTTTTGGTTAGCCAGCCTCGTGGCTGAGCGCGCGCATCTTGGAGGCATGGCCTCTGGAGAGTTTTTAGGTTCCTCAATGGATTATATTGATGGGGCAGAGAAGGAGATAGCTGCCAAAAATTTGCTATTTTATCAAGATCACTTGAAACATTTTCGCTCGAGAAACAACTCAACATCGTCCCTGAAATCGGAACAAAAGCGCAAATGCGATAATCAATCGGACCAATCCATGCTGCCACCTGATTCCACCAAAGTAAATTCACAAATCTTCCGCTAACTCAAATCCGTCAAATAGGAAAACTAAAATCAATTCTGCGTAATATGAAAATTCAAATAAAGGTAATAGTCCAATTTTTCTACAGCGCGATCCCAATTCAAAAGACGCGTCTGTAGATTTAAATCATGTTTCGGTCGGTAAAATCATTCACAATCTTTACCCCGGTAAGATTGTCGGAATTTATCCAAGTGGTCGCGGTAAATTTCGTGTTATCACGAATAGTGGCATAGCGGCAAATCAAATCGCATCTGACCCTACCTTGAAATCGAAAGCCTATTAGCAATAATCCCATCAAGTTTCGTCAAGTGTCAGGGCATTGTTAATAATATCGGGTTAGACATCTCTACAAAAGAGATCCTAGAACACGCAGAAGTTGTAGGTATTAATAAAGATCATAAAATCATCGGTGCCATGAGGTTTAACCGCAAAAAAATTGACGAAAATAACACGATCAAGTATGAACCTTCTACTAACGTTCTTCTTACCTTTCAAGGCACTACCATATCAGAACGTGTTGCAATATACAAAGGTTCATCCCCAGTGCGTCCTTACATACCCGACCCACGTATGTTCCTAAATTGTCTACGATTTGGCCACATAGCCAAACACTGCAGGTCCAAACCTCGTTGTCAACAATGTGGCGGCTAAGTCCCCCACACAAATGATTCTAACCTCTGTACCCACGCGTTAGGCCCTCCAAGGCTTTGAAGTTAATTCAGAGCGTGAAAACCCGTTGGAATTAAACGTTTGAAATGATGGTCAGATTTAGTTTACTTTCAAAACAAGTCGATTCTGTTTTATTAAATATACCCAAGTCACCCCGAATGTTAACTGCATCAGAATTGCAATTAACAAACGAAATCATAGAAGTACTGCGACCGCTTGAAATTATTACCAAAGAATAATGTGGAGAAAAATTCGTGACGGCTAGCAAGTGATACCTCTTATCAATTGTTTGTAAAATTAGATTCAACATTTACGCGAGAATTTAAAAACACAGACGGCACTTTCCCTACTTAATCGTCTCGATAATTCTGTGTCCTCAAGGTTTGGAATAGTAGAACACTACATCATTATGTCAATGTCTTCAATACTGGATCCGAGATTCAAAAAGTTACATTTTAATCAAGCTATAGCATGTGCAACGTCTATAAATCGAATTTCGAATTGCATCAGAGATGTTCAGCGTAGTAAAAGGAACTCTTTAGAAGAGATTCAAGACGTTAATATTCAAATCAATGAAGACGACAGTGATGACTTGTGGGTCTTTCATGATCATCTGTGACAAAACAAAATAGGAAATGTTCAAGAAAATCGAGAAGAGATGCCAACTGAATTGAAACACTACTTGGATCAACCCTTGCTCGAACGCACAGCTGACCCAGTAACCTTCTAGGTAAAAGAGTACCCATTAGTGTATCCCAATTCTTAGCAACATTGCGAAAAAATTTTTAGCAGTTGATTTACATGTTGATGTAAATGCAGAATGAAAAACCGAAAACAATGAAAGTGAAAAGAACAAGGATATATCACTATCCTTTTCACTCTCATTGTTTTCGGTTTTGCATTCTGCATTTACATCAACATGTAACTCCACCCTTAGACAGGATTTTTTACAGTGTAATCTCATTTTTGTTGCAATTCAAAATGAGCCAATGCTAAACGACTTATACAGTGGCGCCGCCAACCTGGCTCATTTTAGTTGCACTTTAAAATGAGTAGCTTACGCTACTCATTTTAAGAACAGGTTTTTTCTGTGAAATTAAAAAAATATTAATGATAATTTCTATATTGTTGAACTCTACACATAGTAAAACTGCATACATTGGAATTGTATACAAATATTTTTTATAGGCCAGTCTATAAAGACAAAAAGTGCTACTAATTGCTTACAGATTTTTCTAAACGGATTTTGGTAGTTTGAGGGGTAGTATAAAGACCCCACAGTTTGCTCTGGATTTCCGGTTGCAGCAATTGTTATAAACAATGGTTAATGTTAGTAAAACATGGTTTTCGGGTGCTGGTTGCTTTCCTGTACATTTTAAAGGAAAAAGTTGTTATTGAAAAAAGGTATAACAAATACCTACGAAATGGTGGGTGGAAAGTTAAAATCGGATTATTTGTTTAAAAGTTATTGAATTTAAACCATTAAAAATGGCACTTTTTTAATTGTTTAATAACTTTGTTAATAATAATCTGATGGTAATGAAACTTTATGAAAATGTGCTCCTCGCGATACTAAACAAAATGAAAAAAAATCGAACCCGATCGGATGAATAGTTTATAAATTATTCCATTTGTTAATTAAAAACATTTTGTTTTTCAACCTAATTTCTACAGACCGATATGAAGCGAATTCCATTATTTTATTGCATAATAATGAACTAACAATAAAAAAAAAGGGTACGTTTTTTAGTTATAAACAATTGAAATTACTCGGACAGTTTTTACTCTATCGGATTCTAATAAAGGACATTGCATTTCTTTTTTCTTTACAAAACTTTTTTTTAAAAAAAGAACGATGTAACTTATAGGGGGGGAAAGATATTTTTTTTCATAAAATTCCTGTAACTATAATTATTAATATTTTTTCATCAAATTTACAATACTTACAGTTTGATATGCTGACTGTAAGATAAAAAAATTGTAAGCCTTGTAATAAATTTTTTTCTTATTAATAATGGGGATCAAAGTGAGCTCATCATTTTTCCTTGCTCCAGT